AAGTCAAGTGACGAGTTCGCCATCAGGTAGTTCGCCATCAGGCAGTTCACCACCAGGGAGTTCGCCACCAGGCAGTTCGCCACTAGGCAGTTCGCCACCAGGCAGTTCGCCACTAGGCAGTTCGCCACCAGGCAGTTCGCCACCAGGTAGCTCGCTACCAGGCAGTTCGCCACCAGGGAGCGCTACCAGGCAGTTCGCCATCAGGTAGTTCGCCACCAGGCAGTTCGCTATCAGGCAGTTCGCCCCCAGGCAGTTCGCCACCAGGTAGCTCGCCACCAGGTAGTTCGCCACCAGGCAGTTCGCCACCAGGGAGCACTACCAAGCAGTTCGCCATCAAGCAGTTCGTCACCAAGTAGTTCTCCCGCAGGGAGTTCGCCACCAAGTAGCTCATCACCAAGGCACGTCACCACCGGGTCAAACAACGAGGTACTTAGCCAAAAAATTTATACATCACAAAAAATGGTACGTGACCAAAAACGGTTACATCAGTTTATATTTTAAAGCATAATTTTGACATAAATATTTAACTTCTTGTTTTCTTTCTCCAAAATTTTAATAAATATAATAAATTTCTAATTTTAGAAATGAGTATAAATAATATTTAAAGCATAATGAATACATAAATTTAAGATGTGACATGCACATCTGATATGAAATGATTTACCATTTAAACATGGTTTTAATTGAGCTTTTAAAACATTTATTACAGAATCATTATTACTAGCATGTAAAGTATTTAAAATGCTTGTAGCAATAGCTGGGCTACTATGTGGCCATTCAAGCATAGTAAAACTTAAAATTCTTTTATTTAAAAGTTAAATTTCATCAATAAAATGACTGATAACACAAATATAAATTATGTTAAATTTAGAAATCCAAACATCGGAAGTAATTGCAACTTTAGAATTAAGATTTGATAACAAATAAATTAAATTTTGTTCATATGAACAAAAAATTTTTAAAACATCCGATCTAATAGTATTCCTAGAAACTTTTTTATATTGTGGATTTACAGAATTACATAACCATTTTTCAAATTTAGTATCTTCAACTAATAAAAATGGTTGTTCTACATGCACAATGTATTTTGCTAATTCTTGTCTCATTTTTCTTGAGAATATTTAAATGTACCAAAACCCCCTCCCAATTTGTGTTTGTGTTGTTTCTCTCACTTCTTCCTTTTCTTCTTCTTTCTCATGTGTGAGCAAATGTCAATTCAAATGGCCAGTACCACCCTTATTACAATAGCTAAAGTCTTTTCTAAATTTTTGGTAAAATTGCTTATTTTCCCTTTTTCCCTTCCCCTCAACATCCTCTACTTTAGATATTTTCCAAACCGGGCTACTCAACTTAGATGCCTTCTTTTTCTTTCCCCTAGTATCAGTACTAGAGGTGAAAGTTTCATCAATATCAATAGCATCCATGTCGGTGCTAATACTATCATGATGCAACTGAATATCGTCAATAGTGAACATGTTGAGGATTTGATTTCAGGAGTAGCTGGCCATCTTTTTAATTTAAAAAAATAAAAATTAATTTAATTGGACCTACCTGGATTGCTGGTTCATAACCCCAACTTGATTTCAATGGTTAAAGCCTTTTAATTCCAAGAGTCCAAACCTCTCAAATTGTTAACTTGAAATACTTGAGCTAGTTGAGCAAGTCTTCTTGTTGAAATTTCAATAAAGTTGAGAATTGGAGAATCAAATAATCAGTCAATTAGTGTTCACTTAGATTTCAAAGAATGTATGAGAAAGAGAGAGAGAGAGAGGGAGAAAGAGAAAAGAGACTAAGAGAATTGTTGAATTTGTGTGATGAAAATGGTGGAGGATAGGACTATTTATAAGAATTTAAAATAATTCAGTTGCCCAAAATACCCTAAAAACTATCTATTTTTAATTGTTAAGAGGGGTATTTTGGTCATTGTAAAGTTATTTATAACTTTACCCAAAATGCCCACTAAACTAGTTATTATATAGCTATTGGGGGGGCATTTGTATCATTTTTTCTCTCCCCCATAACCAAAATACATAAATAACCCCCTATATAGCTGCTTATAGTTATTAGGGAGGTATTTATGTAAAAAACCCATTAGGGGGGGCTCCCCAATGACTAGTTCTTGGACAGTCCGAGCATGGCCTACTACGGTCCTGTCACGGGCAACATGACATGTCGTGCTTTGCCAGCCCATGGACTTCGAACCCTAGGTCCCCAGCATGGTGCGAACCATCATGCTAGGCCTGGCATAGTCCACGTGCCGTCATGCCGTTCTAGGCTGGGCCACGGGCGGCCTGGCCCAATTTACACCTCTAAGCGTATCCTATCAATATTTTAATACTTGAATGACAAGAACTTTTACTTCATGTCTCTCTCAAAGTCCTCCCTTCCCTTCAATTCTTGGAAACTCCCCCGAATTTCGCCAACTCAGAAACCCATTTTCCCTGTCATCTTCTCATCATATACATTTTGGCCAACTCAGAAACCCATTTTCACTTGAAGTCTTAAGATACAGAGGATAGCTCCTTTAAAATGATGAAAACTCAAACTTGTACTTGGGTTGTCTGTTCAGTAAACAATCTGTGTACTTTCCAGCAAAATCAATAATTAACACGTAAACTAGACAAGTAACCTAAGTATTTATTATAAAACTAAAAAATGAATCATTTTGATACTCTCTTCAATATAGCTTTCTAATAATACATCTTGAATAGCAGCAAACACCAGAAGCATTTAATACAATTTTGACACTGACCCGGTAAACATATCTAGGAATGGTGCAAGCTGAGTTTATTAATAGCAGGTATAGTCCAGAAGCTACCAGAGCCACAATATTGATAGCAGGTATGGTCCATAAGTCATGAAGCCAAGCTGAAAGAAAAGCACTCCTGCCAGTTTATGATAACCAAATTCTTTCCACATTGTATTGTATATTGGCAACTTTTCCCCCTTGCTTTTGCTTATGCTCTTTCCTTTCATCCACCCTCAATTACTCTTTGCTGTCACTTGAACTAATCTATTTGTCTTTAGTTGCTGAATGGATATGTCTGATGTGGGTCTTGATATGGTGTGGGCTTCAACTTCCCTTCTGCTTTCTTGAAGGCAAATTCAGAAACCAAGGCTAAATGATCACTACCCAATTTCTGTATGCATTAGAAAAGAAAGTGGAGGAAAAGGATCAGATATGCATGGCTTTAGATATAAACAAGATGGAACATATCAAAGAAACAAGGACTGCTAGATAATGAGGGAGACATCATCCTTGGCATTCAATCGGACTTAGAGCACAGACACGGGTTTGCCACTGGAAAATCAAATTTTCTTCCCAATTTCAAGTTAAGCAACAGGAACCTCATATCCAACATATTTGCATTTAGAAATTACTTGACTAATGATCGGCAATGAACCCTTGAACCAGAAGAATGCATACCTTGGATGGCAAACCACCTGTCTTCCTTAGCATATCAACGGGAGGAGTGTCAAGAACTCTTGTAGGAAAAAGACCATCTGAGTACCTATATCAAGAGTGAAAATACCTGCATGTAAGCTTATTGTAAGAAGATGCCTCCTACCTTTTTTTAAGAGGCAGCTTTCCTTTTTTAATTCTTCAGCAATGTCACTATTTTACCAGAGATAGTCAACAGTTCCGAGAAATCTTGAATGATATGTGGTAGCTAATGGTTCACCATGGGAACCTCTTGTCCTTGCAGATCCCTGCACAAGACAAATATTAAATCTTAAAATTTGTCCTTATAGATCCCTGCACAGGATAAACATTAAATCTCAAATTTATGATGCAAACTTAAGAGAGGAAAGAAGTTGAAGTGAAGCAATTTACCAACCTTTACAGTTAAGTAAGAGCTGTTGAGTTTCAAAGGATGCTCAACTATGGTGCGATTGGGACTGCCAGTTGCGATGTTGACCTGTTCACCACTCCAGCTATAATTCAAACATCTGAAGTGAAGAGCAATAATTCATTGGTGATTGCAGATTTCACTTAACAAAATGAAAGTCTATAAAAGGAACTTGTGTGGTGAAACTTAGGTTTCTAACAGTCTATATGAATGCATGTAATGGTAAGCATCAATCAAATGTGGCAGAAAACTAGAGCAAGTTGTGACACTCTCATATCAATATCAGCATAGAAGCTCAGAATAAAAAATTACCCATCAATCAAAACAAATGGCCTTCTCATTGGTATTTGGCCTGATAAATATCTTCTATCATATAGTGTGACATTCAGCTGCAAATAAGGACCATAAGATAAATTTCAAGAAATTCAGGTATATACCTAGGAGTATGAATTGTATACTGGTACCATTAGATTTTCCCCCCATTTCAATACCATATGACATAAACAATATCTGAGATAGCATTAGCATTACTACAGAAAATTTCACCTCTGATGACGACAAGAACTTGTAAACTGCGCTCTGCAGACAATTAAATTACATTTAGCATTTACTGTATTAAACAAAATCCTTAAGCCCCTAAATCTTACATACAGAAACAAGATGAACAGCAATTAAATAGGCATTAAACCTGAGGAGTGCTGTTGAAGTCACCAACAAGCACAACAGGGATATTGCCCCATTTCTCTGAGAGAGCATGTGCCCTCTGCAAAAGCAGACGGATCTGAAAAATAGAATGATTCAATATTAAATCATATCAAGGAACAATTTAGAGAACTAACAAAAAGCAAAGCTAGATTTTTTTTTTTTTTTGATAGAAAGCACAGCTAGAATTGGATGACAAAAACAAGAAATGTGTTTTGGGAGCTTCCTTAGCTCATACAATCTAGATGTAATGTATGAAACGGTACAAAGTAGATGTTATTAAAACAATTCATTCATATATTATGCACATCTAGATGCACAAATAAGCTTTTCACAAAGTTCAACAAATTTCCATCAGTAATCATGGACTTCATATTCACACTTTCATAAACACATTTGGAAAGGGCATAAACAGAATGGAATGGCAAAACAGGATTCATATGGCTGACCTCATATAGTTGGAAAACTTAGATGATGATGATGAAACAAAGATTTGGAAAGGGTTTATGAGAAATTCAAAAAAGTTCTGGGGTTTTAGAAGGAAAGAAACGCAAAGATCTTTTTATTGTAGAGCTTCTTGAGCTAGGCTGCTCATTAAAAGTAATATTATGGTTAGAAAATGTGAAAACAGTTTTACCAGTTGGCTTATCTCTGAGTCCATATGAAATCATGACAGACAGAAATAAAATCAAAACAGTAAAAGCAATTGTTTGAGGAAAGTAGTAGAGAGAGTAAAAACAATTTAATAATAAAAACTACTAACAAGGTAGATAATAAACATATAACATTTACACACCATCCTACTGCTAACAACATTCTGTAAAAGTAATAACATAGGTTGTGATAACCCTACATTTTGATGCCTTAAGGGCATCAATTCAGGGGTATTTTTGGCCTTAGAATAGTCAAAGTATACCCTTTTCCCAGTTAAAATCAATTATGTTACCTCTGAGGGTTTTTAGGCTGAAGTGCAGTTTTTGGGAAGCTGGTGTAAAGACCAGCTGAGAGAGGGGGTGTTTTTGTAAAGAACTGAGAACAGGAGGGCACCTCCTATCTGCTAAGCCCAGTTGGCACCCATCCTATTGTATTACCATGCTCCCCTCTCCTTAGCAAACCCTAGGGAGCTTTTTTAACCTAATCTTTTCACTCTTAGCAAACCCTAGCCACCCCTAGGTGTTTAATTTCCACCCTCCACCTCTTTTAATCTCAACCACTCATTTTAGGGCTCTCCTTTATAGCTTTTAAACCCTAGGGTGCCACTTATTCTGCTAATCCTCACTATTCAGCTCCTCACCATTAAATCTCAGCCACTCTCTCCATCTTATATCCCAACCATTCAATCTAGGGTGCCACCTATTCTTTTAATCCTAACCCTTCAACCCTAGATGTTCTAATCTACACCCTCCATTTCTAGGCGCCCAAATCTCAGCCCTACATAATATTGGGCGCCCTCTCCTTTTATTTTCAGCCATAGGATCACCCCAAAACCATCTTAGCCATCCATTAGAAACCCTAGGGCGTCCCTAACTTTGCTAAAACCCAACTGCCACCCCCATCTTTCTCCTTATTTCCAATTGTGTCCACCCTTCTCCATAAAAAGGGTCCTAGTGGCCCTGTAGAAGGGGTTGGTCAATTCACCCAGGTAAGAAGGAAGGCTGATTTTGAGAAGTTCAAGGGTAGAGGAAGAGGAGGACGCCTAGGCAAGAGGAGGGGTTCCTACTTGCAGTTCGCCAACACCACTACTACCACCTCTGGATTTGAATGCCAACCATTTTTTCTTCAGTTTTAGAATTACTTTATGTTCTTTATTTCAGTTTATTTTTCCTTCATGCAAATTTACTTTTCTTAGATTTAATTTGTGTTTTAATTTTCTTCTGTAGATCTGAAATTCGGCCAGGTAAGACGAAAGGCCTAACTCGAGAAGTTCGAGGGTGGAAAGAGAGATCCGGAAACTGCTACCTCTAATCGGATTCTCAGACATTTTTATTTTGTTTCTTTTATTTAGTTGTTTCTGTTATTTATTTATTTTTATGCACTTGTTATTCTCAGTATTGTTCGAATTTGGTTTTAATGAATTCCATTTTTTAATTAATTAATTTTATATTTTTGCAACTCCCCTTTGTGTTCTCTCTCCCAGATCTAAGAAAATATTAGTAGTTGTTTGAGAATCAGAATAAAATTATAAATGTTTAAACTAGTGTTCCAAAGTGGTTAACGACACGCTCCAGATCACACCAAGCTGCATTAAGCTACCTGGGTAGAAATGGAACTAAATTACTTGTCAAATACTGAGGAGCTTCCAAATATGCTAAAATGTGTATATCACGGGCTTAACATTACTAGTTTTAGATTCCCCCATATGTACAAATAGTGGAATCTGGAAACTTGTAGAATAAAAATATTGAATTCTATTTTCTGCTCCAATTTCCATTGAAACAAATGGTCCTAGGAAAAAATTTTCAATTGTTTTGCTCATTTCAGGGAAGGCATTGAAAATGTTTAAAATGGAAACTCCTCATGTGATCTTGAACAACTAAAAATAATATTTAAGAGTGATATGGTTGACAAAGTTGTAATCACCACCTTGCAAACCACTGAACCAGTTCAGCTTTTATCTATTTTGATATTTGGGCATTCATCATTTCAGGGAGTCTTGAACTTTTCTTTTCCTTTTTTAAGCATTTATAAAATTTCCACAATTATTTCCATTTCATCTCGATTGCTACATTTTTTAAAGGTCCATCTCAATTGTTGCATTGACACGGGTGGTTTTGTGAGTGCCCAGTGCTATTGTAGTTTTTGCCCTTACGTACCATGTTAAGAAATTAGGCATTCTAATGATAATTGCTACACAAGATATAGCTTCTATCCTATGTTGACTTTAAATTCTTACTGTAGTGCATATGCCACAAATTATTGCTGGGAAGCCACCCTAACAGGTTGCAACATTGTGTGAGTGTTAAATTTCCTTCATGAATGGATGAAACTCCAGACTCATTTAGAAGTGAAAGATCAATATGTAACATAATCTGTATGGGTCCCTTTCTCGACGGATATTGCATTTCGTGTTCACCTCATAATCAATCCATAACCTGAGTATTATTTTATCTCAGCTAGTCAGCTTCATAGTTATCAATGGAACTTATTTGAGATGAATGTGCAAATTCAATAGTAGATCCCCAGGTTGTTCTGGATGGATGTCAGATGGTTCAAATGGTCCATGGCCTTTGAGACCTATGATCAAGAAGGTAAGAGCCTTGACTTCAGGGTAAACATCCTATTCTGATGTCTCCCAGGGTCTGGTATCAAATAGTTTAAACCAGGAATTGGGCTTCAAGATTTGAATTGTAGCTGCTCCTTAATAAAATTTTGTTAGAATCAAAAAGAGTTGGCAGGGGCTATTGCTTGGTGTAATGGTAAAATCTTGTTATAAAGGCTTTTTTATCTAAAAGAATGTTGGAAGTGTGAAACTAATTCTCTTTTAATAATTTATGTTATTTGATCTGAAATTTATAGAGATCATTTTTCTCACATGCATTACAGATAGGGCTAACTGTCTAAGTTATTTTTCCTTCAAATTAAGTTTTTGTTTTCTTATCTTATTTTTCTTTTTTTCCTTGTCAGAAGTTGGATATTAACGTTTGATGTATGCAGGGATCCTAGTCAAAAGAAAAACAGCACTAAGAGAAAGAAAATTAAAAAATCCATGGTTAAAGATCTCAGATTGACAAGAGAGAAACGAGTTAGTAACATCATTCACAACAAATAAATAACACTATTCAGGAACTTACTTGACCTAGTTTAATATCTCCCCGGCTTGGGTTAAAAAGCACATGGATATTCCCAACCAATACTCTTCTTGAATCAGCCCTACACATCTGACTGTATGGCACAAAATAAGATACAGAACATACAACATCCTATCTTGCTTAATTTAAAGAACATAAAACACTGCTTTATGCATAAGAAGGCCTGCATAGCCTGGTATCCTGGTCTAAATTCTAATGCAAAATATCTACAGAAATATAGTGAATAAGGATTTTGTCATGAAATTTATTAAAGTTGTTAGGTGATTCATGGACAGGGGACACCAAAATGTTAGGCCCCTGCTCACCTGGTATGTGACGAAAGCTCTTTATTACTTGCAAAACAAGACTAATAGCTAACATATTATTTATCAAATCCTTCTATGGAATTAGTTGTATGCAATAGGTTCACCAATACAATCATCTATTCATTGCTTATTAGCAATAAAGCTTAGCTAACCATGTAATAGTAAATAGTTAAAGATCAACAGTACATGATCATCCATTGGTATCAAATTTTGCAATTTTGATCCAGTGTCCTGAGGCACAGCAGATCATCTCACCCAATGCTTGAGGACATCTCATAGCCATGGAAAATGCCTATAGATGAGCCAGCAACACATAAAGGGCATAGCAACCCATGTCTAGAAGTAGGCCTTATTAAGTTTCAAAAAAGGAGACAGGCCAGTAATCCAGCATAAGGTCATCTGGTTTATGAGATTGAATTAAAATTCTCTTTAGGTAATTCTAATATGGTATTTTCTTTGATTTCTAAGGAAACAAGCATGTTTCTATATAGGATAGTTTTAGCCATAAGATGCAAACCTGTGGGATCACCAAAAAAAGGGAAAGAGACATGAACTTAAAGGTGCCAACTGGCTCAGTTATTAAAGCTTCTATCTGGTTGTAGTGAGAGACTTGGGAACAAATCCTGCCTTTACCAGGGTTGGGGGGATTATGGGTTTGCGGATGGACTGCCCCCTGTTGTGTAGCCCCATGGAACTAAAAGAAGTTGCTAAGTTTATAAGAGTCAAACAAAGAAATGAATGATAAGAGGAGAAATGGAAGGGGAAAAGAATTAGTAGCAGAACTAGCAATAATAGAAACAATAAACTGTTAGCCACAAGCACTTTTTTTCCTATTTCTATTACTTCTTCAATATGATTAAATTTCTCAATAATTCAATGAGTCATTAGTCACTTGCCTGTCATAGGAGATATGACATTAGCATCATGGCATTTGACAACAGCCAGAGTCCATAACCACATTTTCTATATAATAGCCTCTTCTGGGGACTAAATAGGCCTTTTACAACTTTGCAAGCATTCACCAAGATGCAGCAGTTTGTAACATGTAAAAAATTCATTATCATGCTGACTGCATAGGCAATATAACACTGACTAATCATTTAGTGGATCACTCATAGGATCAAACTTCAAATTGGAAGTAACTCAAAATTGAAACTTATTATTATCATTATTTTTTTTTTTGGTGCTAACAGCATCATACCTCCCCCGCCCCCAACCCAAAAAGGAAAAAAGTGAAAGGAAAGAAATAAATGGATAAAATAATGGAAGAATAAGAGAGGATATGAAGCCAGAAAAGCATACAAGATTGGAAAATCAGGGACCAAGTTTTCATCTTAGATTGTTAATCCAGATGTGCATGAGGAATTAGTTCTTTTCTATCTTATAGAGTGCAAACAAACTAGAGTCTTCTTCAGCATATTTGCAAGAAGTGTTCGTGACCATAAAATTATTATGCAGGTATGATAGAACTCAACCATGGTATATTCCTAAGAAGGTCTGAAGGGTAACATGGCCTAGGTATACAACAAATAGGCTTGTACATGGATTACAGCTTCAGGGTGAGATATAAATTTCTAAGGAAGATCACAATGCTTGTTCATCAAATTTTCATCATTATAAAAAGAAGAATCTCCAGTTTGTTGGTTGCATGCTCATCTGTCAAATGTCCATTTCCTTTTTGGACCATCTACAGTATCAACAGGAAGAAGTGATCAGTTGCAAATTGAAGGGTTTAGAAGAGTTAGGGATGGCCCAGAAAGGGCGTGGGTTGAAGTAAGAAGAAATTGTTTGAGGGTCTGTACTTTAACAATGGATATGGAACTCAACAGAGTGGAATGACAGAACAGGATTCATGTAGCTGACCCAGTATAGTTGGGACAAGGCTTAGTGACGAGTTGACTTGAGTTGGATCATAATAAGAACTTACAGTTTGTCTGTCATCAAATCCTACTAAGATATACACGATTGAAAACCAAGAGGCTAAAAGAACATGCAATCAAGACAAAATAGAGCAGCGCCCTTCTAAACAAAAATACCAATTTATAATTTACTACCTCAAAAACAGAAAGTTGAGCAACATTATCACGAAGACCAAACATTCTGAATTCAATGCTCTCTCCCTCCAACAGCCGAAACCTAACAAATGAAGCAAGAATTACTCATTCCAAACTAAATTAACCTAATTCTTTGTTTTTGGGTGGAAAAAATAGCTTAATTCAATTAAACAAATTAGCAAATCATATCAGGGAATTCTCACGTAGTAGCTCTCCAAAACAACGCACAACCATCAGTAGCATGTCCAGTACGTCTCTGTAATAACAAGTAAGCAATTCAGTTTTCCACCATAAATCTGAATATGAGACACATGTGGATCCAATAACCAAATGTCGACCCATGTAACACCAAGAGAGATGGAGACAGACATTCATTAACCTTGTAGCTACCAGCATAGCCGTTTTTCTCCATAATGCTCAATAGATCATAATACCTATCCACCTCCTGAAAAATCAAACCAAGACCCACAATTTCCAGCATCAAACAGTTGAATTGCAGCACACTCTATCACTTAACAAACGCCATACCCAACCGGAACACTTGCCTGCAAACAGATAATATCAGGCTTCCATCCAATGAGCTCCTGGCAGATAAGCCTTTTACGCCGTTCCCACTTCATATAATGAAAATGCACATGTGAGTACAACTCTCTGTGATTGGAAGCATTCTTATCTCCCAATATGTTATACGAGACAACTATGAATTTCTCTGGCAAAACAGAGCCCGAATACATTCAACGGTCAAAATCTTCACTTATAAAACAAAGTATTTTAATTCACCCGGAAACTTCCATTAAAGATTGCACAATTTATATGGACAGTATTCGGTACCTTTAGAGTCGAATATAGGCGGATTATCAGCTTCAATCCAGTAACGAACGATCTCCGGCTGATAGACTCGTTTCTGTCTGTCGGGGTTGTACCAACGACGGACTTTGTGCGTGGTTGCATCGGTGCCATCGTTGATGCAGCAAGAGAGGTTGGATTTAGAGAACCGCTCGCATTTGAACGAACAATGAACCCTTGTGGCCAAAGGCGCAGAAGGGAAGAACCACCAAGCATGGCAAGCCATCGATACACAGCGACTAAGCGAGGGTGTCATCCAGTAGTCTAGAGCTAAGATACGAGATTTCTACTGGAAGGAAATGTTGTTAGAGTATATAATATAATACAGTAAGATTTATGTGAATGCATCTCGTACCGTTCATCATTATCATAATCTGTGGACTAACCTGAACGTATAGAATATTCTATCCTTATGGTATACGATGCACTTGCAAGTGACACAAGAAAAACAGGGCAGACCATAGGATATATACGGGCCGGTTCATCTTCATCCATGGCGGTTCCCATTTCGTCCCACAATTTCCTTTCTCGTATTAATTCTCTCGGGAAATCCCATACCTCTAGACTCTGTGTCTCTCTCTACCTCTCAAAGCCTACCTTTTTCTTTCAATCAATGACAATTCCAATATCTATTCACTTCAGCCTTCAGGTATATGCCTCTCTCTGCCTTCTTTGGAGCCGCTTCTTCTGACCTGTTCGATTTAATTTGAAAGAGCTCTAAATGAACAAATTCTCCCAAGGTATTCTAAAGCTTCCATTTTGATTTCAATTTCTCTCCTTTCATTGTTAGTTTATCTTCACAGAAGAAAGAGGGCTTTCTTCACTTACACAGATAGTTTACAGGTTTTTGGTTGGTTGGTTTTAGACGCAGTGCAACGTTGTTAAATTACTCTTGTGTTGAGAGGTATGTACATCTCTGTCTCTGTTTGTGTGTACGCCTATTTGTCATGAAGCTTTAGCGCAGAAGAAGATAAACATCAGGGCAGTGTAACAAATACTTGACCCTATAAGAATCATGTAAGTCGCTACCTTCTTTGGCGCAGCAACAAAATCCTGGAATGTAGAACCTGGGATTGAAGGCACTACCTTGTTTAGCGCAGGAAAAAAGATCGTGAGTTGGTAATTCGTATAGATATAGGTATTTTGGGTTCCAGAACTTGATTGGAGTCTTGGAGCTTCAGGGTGAATTGCTTTATAACTAAAGCCAAGGTTAGCGTGCAGAATATAGGTAAACTTATGTATGTATGCTCCCGAGTCCGTTGCTTTCACACTTCATCATGTCAACAAACTTTTGGAGGATCTTTGAACTTTTAATAAAGAAAGCGTCAAAACCTCAAAAACTAAAAGTAGGCTTTGCAGTCTTCCAACACAAAAATGCAAATGGATCCATGTCATGGACTAGGAAAAGAAAAGAAAAACACCAATAACATAAAAAAAAATGACGAAGTACATCTTTAAATGTATAAACTCAGATTGTCTTACTGCCCTCTCTCTTGCTCTCAAAAATCCATATAGAGGGACAACACTTCTATCCTAAGGAAACTAGAAATCAAGCTCAACATATCTGCTATTTCTTGATTTTCTTGACCTGTACCTTTACTTGCCCATATCTCTCTATTTTAGGAAAACTGGAATTTTCTGTCTATCCCCAGATGATATGTCTGGTATGAATTGTACAACTGAATGGCTACTTTTAGAAATGCATCATCATGTGAGGTAGGAATTGGCGAAAGAAAAGTGAAATGACAATCAACAGCATCAGACAGTCATAGAAGAAGTCAATGATGTTGCTTAAATTCTAATAAAAAATAGCTTCAGAAAAATGTTGCTTTTAAAAATCAAGATGTCTCATTATTTTTTTTCCCTCAAAAGTTGATCCATAGTATACTGTTGCAAGCAAATATGTGAACTACGAGAGAAAGTAGACTAAGATGGTTTGGTTATGTGCATAGAAGACCATCTACAGCACCTAGAAGAGGAACTGATCTGTTGCAAGTTGAAGGGGCTAGAAGGGCTGGGGCAGAGTAAAAAGGACATGTATTGAAGTAGTAAGAAATGATACTAACAATTTAACAATGGATATGACACTGAACAGAATGGAATGGCGAAACAGGATTCATGTAGCTGACCCCATATAGTTGATAGATAAGGCTTAGATGATGACGAGTTAGGGATATCACTAGCCAAGTTAATTCTAGTGGCAGTACCTGATTTTTTTTTTTTTTGATCAATAACAACAACTTCATTAAAATTAAAAGAAAAGAGAGATTATGGATACAAGAGGGGAGATAAAATATCTTAGCTCCCCAATAACAGAATACAAAGAGAAAAAAAATTAAAAATTAGCCCAAAAGTTAGACTCCCTATTCACCCCTTTCTTGGCCAACCCATCCGCAAATGAGTTGGCACTCCTCTTTACAGCTGTATTGTATCTCCATGTCCCTACACAGCCATAAGAACTGTTTCTTTTCATTGTTATAGCTCCACAAACCACTGTCCTCTTTCTTCAACCGGCTAATCACCACCTTCGAATCACCTTCCAGGATCAACCGGCTGATATTTAATTCCTTTGCTCTTCAAATTCCTTCTAGCACTGCAAGGATCTTAGCCCTAAGAGAGTCACCTTCTCCAATAGGGCCAGAGAACAAAGCAATAGCAATAGCAATCCCTTCCTCATTCCTAAAAACTCCTCCAATCCCAGAGGGCCCTGGATTCCTTACACTACTACCATCAAAATTCAATTTTATAAAACCCAAGGGGGGAGGGGACCAAGAGGGACAAAGAGTCCTCTTGCACCGAGCAGTGGTAGCAACCTCTTTCTAATTTCTTAACAAGTCATCCACAGGAAAGTCTGAAAACAACTCCATAGAATTAGGTTTAACAATTCTTCCAGGTTTTTTCCTTGTCTGAAAAAATACATGAATTTCTTTCTTCCCATAGTGACCAGCACACAGCTGCCCTAATACTCCTCCACATAGTCTTCCCTCGCTTCTTAGGCCATCTGAAACAGGAAGGAGAGAACAAACTTTGGACACTCTCAAGAGGATTCCAAGAACACCCAAAGCGGGAGAAAACCCACTCCCAAACAGTTTTAGTAACCTTACAAGAGACCATGAGGTGGTAGCCGGATTCCCCATCAGCTTTACAAAGAGAACATCTATTAGGAAGTAGACAATAGTTGGGTCTCTTTCTCTGAAGTAAGTCAATTGTGTTTATTCTTTCCAGGAAAGTTTCCCAAGAAAAAAAGCCAACCCGAGGAGGAATAGGCTTGCTCCATATTTCCTTAGCCGGAAAGGACAACCCAATAGGGACAGAAGGCTGAGTTAAGGTTTCAAAGAGTGAAGCACAAGAGAAAGTACCAAAGGTGGAAGGGGTCCAAAATCTGGTGTCTTCCTTATCAGGATTTAGGAAGACATTCTCAAGGGTGGCTAGTAAAGGTAACATGCTTTCCAAGTTTGTATCCCTGATTGCCCTACGCAGGCCTAGGTTCCACCCAAAACCAGAAGTGGAGTCTGAAGGAACCAAGAAAGAAGAAATAGGTTCATTTTTCAAGTCTGACAGAGCATACAAGGATGGAAACTGGTCCTTCAGAAGTGAATCCCCGACCCAAAGTTGTTCCCAGAATTTTATTCAGTTACCAGAGTTCAGACCATACCTGATCCAAGGGGAAAAAACTGGAAGCAAATTGTGAATGGATTTCCAAGGAGAAGCAGTTGTAGCCCTTGCCAAGATTCCAGGATCCCAGGCATTGTCTTCCAGCCCATGTATGCTAGCCACAATCTCAGTCCACAATTTATCCCTTTCCAATGTAAACCTCCACAACCATTTTCCCAACAAAGTCATATTCCTTTTCTTGATGTTACCAATCCCAAGACCTCCCAGTTTTTCACACTTAGTTACCACCTCCCAACTCACCCTATGATCTCTCTTCTCCTTTCCAGGCTCCCACAAAAAATTCCTTATTAATTTTTCCAAGAGATTGGAGACCTTAGAAGGGATCTTAAACATTGACAGATAGTAGACAGGTAGGTTAGATAGGGTAGACCTAATCAGAGTGGCTCTCCCTCCTAAAGAAGGATATTTTCTCTTCCAAGCCGCCAGCCTCTTCTCAAACCTCTCCACTACTGGATTCTAAAAGCTTACATTCTTAGGATTATCTCCTAAAGGGAGGCCCAAGTATGTCAAGGGCCAATCCAAGATTGCACAACCTAGCTCACCTGCAAATTCCCTTAGGTCCCTTTYRTYCACATTCACTCCSRCCACACAACTCTTATCAAAGTTCACCTTGAGGTTAGATATCTGCTCAAAGAGTTGTATTGCCAACTTTAAATTCTGGATCCAATTAATGTTCCCTCCTTCACAGAACAAGATTGTGTCATTGTACTTGATTCCAAGTTAAAAATGGTCTAATGATTGAAAGAAACCCAATTCTGCTCAACAACCTTAATTGGGTGTTCATCACAATGTCTTTCTCACATAAAGAGAGTATGTATCTGAAAATGGAGATGTTATTCTGATTGCATGCAGGCATGCAGGTAGTAATGATGTTTCATTAATTGAACCTGTAAGTACTGCCATTTGATCTTCAATCAGATGACTCTGGTTGGTAGTACTAACCAAGATTTAGAGGACTCTGGATCTCCTGCCCATGCCTACCCATAATACACTACCCCCGTGAATTAGGACAATCTCCCCCTGCATAATACTATGCAGGGGATGAGATATTCTCTATATGTGACTGCGATAAATGTGGGCAGGAGATCCGGACTCGATTTAGAGCTTATATGCTTTTAGGCCAGTAATGAAGCTATGCCCATTGGTTCTTCTTTATCCTCCTCTTGGGCCTAGAATCTCTGAAAATTTTTTGTTTTTTATTTTTAAAAAATTAAAACCCAAAATTTCGTAAATTAATCTAATGTGGCAGTATATCGTCAAGCTCCACTTCAACAATGAAACTTTCAAATATTGAATTGGACATAACATGGTATCCGACATATCCCAACCTCTTGAATCAGTTTAATCATTTCTAAGAATGAAATTAAATCATGATTCATTAAGAAACTATATTTTGCAGTGCATATGAAGCAACAGTCTAGGAAGATCCATTATTGGAAGGAAACAATGGGGAAGTTACTATCAAACTCACAAATGCTGTTCCAAAGGACCAATACCATTAGGGCACATGTGGTCAATGCTGTCCTGCTATTTCGAGTAGTGGAGATAAAATGTGAAGGAAGAGGGAATATGGAGATCGGGCTGATTTATACATTTTTTCCTGCTCTTTTTTTTTCTTTTTCCTTTTAATTTTAAATAGAAATATCTTTTTTCCTGCCCAATAAGGGCCATTTTTTTACACCATTCCCATGCATCAGAGGTCCCTAATAGCATACACTATATAATAGAATGTATTAACACCACATATCGATAATAAGATGCAGCCATAGCGATAATATTATAATAGGGTGTCCGTCTTGTGATTTTTATTGTCTAGGAAGGCACCTAGTTGCCTAGATAGATACCTTTTTTATAGAAGGCATTCAGGTTAGGCACCCAGCCAAGGGCAGGTAGTCACCTAAGCAACACCTTGACAACTATGCTAATTTCATAGATCTTTCTTCCTAAAACAGATCCCATTCATTTAAGCAAAACACTACTTTGCCTAGAGAAGGTGTAGTAGGATTTACCCAACTTATTTCATGAAAAATGCAGTGAGAGTGGAGTGGAAATAAAAAATTAATGTCTATGCAATTCTCTCTTGAACACTTGGGAATGTGTGAAAGCTTCCAATGGGTTCAATTCTATTTGCAGTTTATATTGACAGTGAGAGATTGTTTTGTAGTTTATCTGAAGTATCTCTTTGTTACTTGCAGTTTTAACTAAAACAATGGTTTAACAAAATAGCTTGAAAAATATCCTTTTTTTCTTTTTAAGTGCATTAAGGGAGCTCACTTGTAGTTTGTTAATGGATATTTATGAAGCTGGAGGACACTAAAGGACTTTGTAACTCTGGAATTGGTAGAAATATTTGATTTTTAATAGCTTAATAGAAATAGACACACAAGTCTTATTAAAGCATGAAGTCTGTTCTCATTGTCCTTCTCTTCTCATCCATAAATTTTCTTTAGTTGAAAGCAATGTAATGATAACTATTAAATTGCCATCATGCACTATTTCCTTGAAACTCACTTAAAAATAGAGATGCTACTGGAGTAGCTTCTCAGAGAATATTCAAGTACCTGATTTCCAAATTTTTTATTATCTGTAATCTAAGGATTTATAAATTGAACTGACAAACAAAGAAGTTGAAACTAAAAACTTGTATAATTACATATTAATATATTTATTCAGCTTTATCATCTATAGTGTCTAAAGTAACTGTAACTACTTCTTAAACATAGACAAGGTAACCGTTGAAAACTGGGTGTACACACAAGTTTAGTTTGTATTGTCCTTTACTTTTTTGGTTGGGAGTGTTTTAAATCCCACTCGTTTTTTTTTTTCTTTTTTTTTTTTTGATAAGTATGGTCCCATTTTCAGTTGAGATTTTCCCCCTAAAGAAATATGAGACAGAGAACCCCAATAATAGTGTTTGATTCACATTAACCTCCAAAGCTAACAAAATTATTGTTGGGGATAGCAATGTTAGAAATTGCACACCTGATTTCTAGAGAAGGGGAAACTTTCAAAGGATAAAAATGTTTTAAAGTCTGCCTAGGCTTTAATGAAGATGATATATGCTTTTCAATCTTAGGTAATCAAGTCTTGTTTGTGCATGGCACTGGATCTTTCATCAATGTAGAATATGAGACAGAGAACCCCAATAATAGTGTTTGATTCACATTAACCTCCAAAGCCAACAAAATTATTGTTGGGGATAGCAATGTTAGAAATTGCACATCTGATTTCTAGAGAAGGGGAAACTTTCAAAGGATAAAAATGTTTTAAAGTCTGCCTAGGCTTTAATGAAGATGATAAATGCTTTTCAATCTTAGGTAATCAAGTCTTGTTTGTGCATGGCACTGGATCCTTCATCAATGTAGAATACTGCAATAATAACACTTCCAATGAGGATTGAAAATTATAAGCTCTATCTGGATTGTAGAATTTGAGGAGTGGAAGTGGAATTGGTTCTCCAAAGTTTCCTTTCTTGTCTGTTGAGTGGGAACAGTTTATGGTGGGCTTCCATTTTCAACTTAGTTCATATGGGAGTATAGATGTGTTATTAGATATCCACATATGTTTTATCTATATAAAGAAAAAATAATTCTACATTTATGCTTTTGACATATTGGTTGAAGTTTTATATATTATTGATGTAAATACATTGCAAAGCTTCTTTATTTTATGCAGGTATTTGTTTATCAAATCAGGTTTTACATTTGTTCTTCATATTGCATAGTCCATCGGGTTTCTTGCATCAGACCTTTGCCTTAATCTATTGAATCTCTCCAGACCAAAGTATCTCACTATTCATCAATCTAAATGTATGTGCATTTAATTTTGTTTCTATTTGTTTTATAAGTTTAACTGCTTATGGGAATTTTTAAACCCATTTTGTTTTTCTTGTCTAACTCACTCTTTATGGAACATTGAAGGTCAACATCAGCATATAGTGGTAGTTCTCATGAAAGTAGTTCATCTGAAAAGGAAAGTAATCACAATGGTGGAGTAGCACGCCAGTCAGAGTTGGAAAGTGAAAAGGAGTGTGAAAACTTGGAATGTTTGGATGAGTCAAATTCTCAGCTTAAATCTCCAGAGATCAACATGGAGTTTAAAAGTGAAGAAAATGCATTTGATTTTTATCAAAATTATGCCTTGAAAAAGGGGTTCACTATTCGAAAAGATTGGAAAAATAAGAACAAGTTGGGGGTGGTAACAAGCAGGAGGTTTTTTTGTAGCAAGCAAGGTTATTGGAAGCCAGATAAACGGGATAAAGGAGTGAAGAAACCACGTAAAGATACAAAATGTGGTTGTCGTGCCTTTATGACCATCAACTTGAAAGAGAATGGTAAATATGTTATTGCCCACTTGGAAAAAAATCACAACCATGATCTTGTTATTCCAAAGAAAAGTACTTTAAAATCACAGAAAAAGCTTACTAAAGCTCAAGCTACTACAACAGACTTATCAGATGATTCAGGGGATGCACCCAAAACTACAGTTGAATTCATGAGTAGGCAGGCAGGTGATCAAACAAACAATGGCTTCCTTTCATTAGGTTATAAGAATTGTCTGCTTACAAAGCGAGAGAGAGCATTAAATTTGAGAGATGCTGCTGCAGTGATGCATTATTTTCAAAAGAAGCAAAAGGAGCATCCCTCATTCTACTACGCTATGCAACTTGATGTAAGTCAAAAGATAACAAATATGTTTTGGGCAGATGCTAAGATGATTGTTGATTATGAATATTTTGGTGATGTGGTATGTTTTGACACAACATATAGAATGAATCGTGAAGATCATCCATTGAGTTTGTTTGTTGGTGTTAACCATCATAAGCAATCCATAATTTTTGGGGGTGCTCTACTATATGATGAGACTACTGAATCATTTGAGTGGTTGTTTCAGACATTTGTTGAGGCAATGTCAGGAAAAAGACCAAAGACAATTCTTACAGATCAAAGTGTGGCTATGGCTAATGCAATTAAGTCAGTTTTGCCAAATACATGTCATCGTATTTGTGTGTGGCACATATTTCAAAATGCAATGAGGAAAATCAGTTTTGCCTTTCGTCGTGGGTCCACCTTTAGTAGGGACTTCAGTAAATGTATATTTGATTGTGAGGATGAGGAAGAGTTTGTACAAGCATGGAATAATATGCTTGAGGCACATGATTTGAAGGAAAACAATTGGTTGCAAAAGCAATTTAGTAGCAAAGAGAAGTGGGCTTTGGCTTATGGGAGGAACACATTTTGTGCAGATATGAAGAGTACTCAACAAAGTGAGAGCATAAATAGTGTGTTGAGGAAAGACTTGAACAACAACATGGATTTGCTACAATTCTTAAAGCATTTGGAAAGGGTTGTAGATGATTGTCGCAATGCAGAATTAAATGCTAATTTTAAGGATAGCCAAGGTCCTCCAAAGTTAATGGCAAAGGTGATGATGTTGACTGAAGCAGCGTCAATTTATACACATGCTGTTTTTAAGAAGTTTCAAGAGGAGTATGCTAAATTGTTGGCATGTGATTGTATTTGTTGTAGTGAGTTTGGTACAGTTTTTACATACAAAATTACCATGGAAGATGAGCAACGTGAGCACTTGATTACATTTGATTCATCTAATGAGACTTTGGATTGCAGTTGTAGAAAGTTTCAATTTACTGGGATTTTGTGTTGTCATGCAATAAAAGTTCTCAATTTTAGAAATATAAAAATGATACCACGACATTATATCTTGGAAAGGTGGACAAAATTTGCAAAAGTGGGAATAGTAAATGGCTTGCAAAGATCTGCCATAGAAGTTGATCCCAACTTTGAAGTATCAAGTCGTTATCAAATTTTGTGCCCCATTGTGGTTAAGATGGTAGCAAGAGCAGCAGAGTCTGATGCAGCCTTTAAATATATTTTAGGGCATTGTGATGATTGGTTAAATCGTGTTAACGATCTCATTGTTAATGACCCTCCTAACAAATATCCTACTGAGAAGGGGCATGGCAGTACAGTACAAACTGAAGGTGAAAAAATTTCCATAGATGGGACTGATTATTATGTTAACATTGATGAGGGTTCACAATCTGTACAAGTTCAAGGAATCGCTCGGAATGAAGAGTGCTTGCGTGGTAATAATAAAAGAACAAAAATCTGGAATGAGAAGCTCCCAGCAAGACGTAAGACAAGTTCACATGTTCCATCACAAAACACTTCCTCCAATGTTGACAATAATCTTTTGTCTAACTGTTCTGTTATAGACTCATCACAGAATCAATTTGAACAGGTATGATAACATATATTTTTACTGTAGCAAAAAAGATGTTATATATTTTTATTTGGTTTTATTATTTGTATGCTAAAAATGAATTAACATGTTTATGGATAATATGGGTTTGAGCAGAGGCATTTGGCTTCTTTTAATATAAATGAGAATCTTCAGGCCTATCATCCTGTTACAGTCCCATCACAGACTCATGTGGAACAGGTATAAATAATGTTCTACTTAATTTTATTTTTTATATTGTCAAAATACTGAAGTTGGAATTTTAATTTTATAGGGATCAAATGGGTTTAATTTAATGGACTCAACTTCCTAGTTCCCATAATACCAAGAAGAATATTCAGGACACCATCATGTTGTTATCCTACCATAAAATCTTATAAAGTAGGTACTACAGATCCATAACAAATACATTTACTTGCTTTTATTATTTGTATACTTAAAATGATAAAATATAGAGTTGAGGTTGGGTAGGTTCCTCTACCATAGAAATGTAATGGTGGAAAAGGATTCTTGGGTAGTAGTGGGTTGGTTAAAGAATAATAACAGGGCTTATGGAAATAGCAATGTATTATGAAGGAAATAATGATATCTGGATAGGTAATTGAAGCTACCTTCAATTGGGTACAAAGATCAATTAATAGTTTTGGCCTATGCAATGAGAATCTAGAAATTGACTGTTCTCAGTCAAATCTTTCTACAAGGATTGTCAAGGTCAAATGGAGAAAGTTCAGAATTGAAACGAATCTGGGGAAACCCTGTCCCTCCAGGGGTGGAAGCTTTTGCATGGCTAGTAGCATTAGATAGCATTTTGTCATTGAATCATCTTCAAAACAGAGGTTTTCACTTAGCTAGCAGATCCTAACTTTGTGAGAATGCAGATGAGAATGTATTTCATTTGTTTGTTGAATGTCTTCACTCTAAGTTCATTTGGGGTTTCTTTTATGGGATCTTCAAGACTAGTTGGTGGTCTCCTAATTTGGTAGAGGAGATTTTCTCCAAGTGGCCAAGTGTAAGGGGAAATGTCAAGGCAAAGATCGTGTGGAACTGCATTCCTTTTGCTGTTTGTTGGGAACTCTGGAAAGAAAGAAATAGGAGAATATTTGAAGAGAAGGTTCAAGCAAGGAGGCATATTACCCTACTATGTGGTAAAAGGGGACTGGGTTCTCATTCTCCCAGAGTTTGAAAGAGTCACAAAAGAAGACCTTGGTTCTGGTTTTTGGAACATTCTGGAGTTAGCTTAAAAGCTTTGCATGTTATTGGTTTTTGTATTTCTTACTTTTTCTATTGAGTGTTTCCTTTTTGTTTGCTTTTATCTCCTTTGTAGATTTGTTTTCTGGTGATACCTCATCACTATCAGATGTACTACACTCTTTTTATTAATATATTTTCTTTTTTATTTATTACCAAAAAATCATTCAAGGGGTGAATATGGACTGTCTCTGAGTGGGGTGGTTGGGGATCTCCCAATGATGGTTATAATTTGTAAATAAACAGGGTAGCTAGCAAAAGGCTGCTTAAAACAAAGGGGTGCTTGCACTTTTTTGTAACTTTAATTCTTCCACTATTTATAAAATTTGACTATTAACAATCAAAAACATTATAAAATTGGAAATATAATTACATAGGGATCATATGGATTTGAACCAACACATTTGGATCATTATCAAAGAATGCTTCCATTGTTCCAGACTCACAGTATATCCTAACTATTAATTTTATTCAATTGAATCTGTTTATTTCTAAGTTTCTTTGTTTTGATTATACAGGATTCAACACCTCAGTTATATGTTTGGGAATCAATCTTTAGCAACAATTCTCAACCATGTCAGGTATAATAAACAGAGCCTTTATAGTGAATATTGTTCATGTATGCACTGACTTCCTTGCATATATAGGAGTCTTCGGTGGTTGGAGTTCCACAGAATATAAGTGGTGAAAGTTCTGATGGCTGAAGAGGTACAATGCATCAACTCACTGTTTTTCAATTTCTAGGTCTTCTACTTGTAGGTTCTTGTGAAATGAAACTTTAAGCTCTTCTGGGCTTGCATAGTAAATGTTGGCCTCATTTCCAGGCCTCAGTTAAAATGCGTGGCATGGTCAGTTTTTGCTAGCGCATTCAGTACAACAATTGGAGAATCTTGCTACTTGGTTGCACTCACCTTTTGCTGCCATTTAACAGAAAGTTGTTTATGATGGTGTGGCGGCTTATTATGCCTTTTTTTGAGATAGTAAGAATAGGCACTCACATAATGATTATGATATGGTCAAGATTCCATGTTTAGGACCTAATTGCTTGTGAACCTATGCCTATTAAATTCATCAGCAGTTACTCTTGTGCTTCAACTTTATCATAAATCCAACTAGATATTTCTGAATTTCAATATGGAAAACAGAAACGTTTGATATTTTTTACAATATTATGCACATTCACATGTAGACAACAACACAATTAAAGAGATTGTATTAAGAGGACAACAATATATTTGATAAGCGAAGTATATAGACAAGTGGCGTGCACACTAGGTTAGAAACCTGCCCTTAAAATATATATTTTCTGATAAAAACATCACTGTTTGTTCATTGTGCCAACCATTGTTGGTCATTTGACTTGGTTAAGTCTGGCCTCCCACTATTACAACTTGCCCAGATTATGTTACAAGTTGGTAGCATCCTCGGTTTACCTATTGAATATATTTGAAGGGATTAAAAGAACAGTCTAGGTCACCTGCCACCTATCTACCTTCTTGTGAGACCCCAATAATGGTGGTTCAATTGCTGGCTCTTCAATGATTGCGAGTGTGTTATATTGGTGTGGAGGACTGGAACATGGAAAATGCAAGAGGCATCAGGCATTTAACATCTTGATGTTAAAGCAATCCCATGCTCATTGCCATTTCTTATGTGCATTCTACATAAAAATGGTGGCTTATGTGACACCACCTTTTATGCCATTGCCTTTCCTCATGTCCCAAGTTTCAGCATGGTACCCTTGCACCTCAAGGAGCTCTCTCTTTTGGGTCTCTTTTTTAATTAGAACATTGAACTTGCAACAGCTAGGGGCCATTACTTGGTATAATGGTCAAGACTCCAGATATCTGGGACCAACAATTGGTAATGGCCAACGGCTGGTGTTGTTATATAAGCAAGGGGAAAAACAAAACAAAACAAAACCTTGTGTTTGTGCATGTGTGTGTTTTTATCTGGCATTGAATTTTGCCTGCATGTGAGCAGGCTCTGTGTGAAGCTCTAATGAGGCAAGAGAAACTACTTGAATACATAGGCCGTCAAGAAGAAACAACGTTCCAGGTGAGTTCGATATAAGTACTGCATTGTTGTGTACAACAAGATTGGTTAATTCATTGAAACGGAATGCAAAACCTCTCATTTTATGTTGAGCAGAGAAAAAAAGCGTGAAGCTTTTGCTGGTGAATGAGAGATAGCACCAGAGAAGTTGTGTTGCAGATTGCACACGAGCAGCGGACTTTGTCTATATCCTGTCATTTCTATGCAAATGTTTGAGGTGGTGCTGCAGATGAGTACAGGGAGAGGCCATACTGATATGGAACTGCGACATTTCAGGCCATTGAGGAATGCAGAGTCTGATCGAAAAGATGGAAATAGAGCAGGATCTGTTCTGAAGTATTGCTTTAGTAACTTGGGGATTGTATGCGCTATGCAAGTATGCAGTGGATGATATGCACGGATCTTTTGTATCCATTTGCCAATTAGCTTTTTGCAGTTTACCAAATAATTTGTAGTAGTTGCTTGGTTTTGTTTGTAGAGGCAAACTGGGTGCAAAGAAAATGTGACATTCTGGTTAAATAAAAGAAATAACAATATCTACTCCAATCAGTTACTCCATGACAGTTCAACTCAGACTTCAGATAGACTGTTGAGACTAGGTATGTAGAGTACATTCTGGTTCATGCAAATGCAAATTTGGCTTAGTTTTGCATTGATAAAGTTACTTTCTTGACAAACGATTTTTAGTTGTAATGGGTGTAAACATGAGTCCCGATATTGTAATGTACATTGATCAACTTTGAATGCAATATTTTACAACCTCCTTCCCATGTAAATTTTGCTTTCATTTTGCATGCAAACATGCCTTGAAACTTGTGAAAACTATCACTATGTAAACGCAATCTTATCAAACACCAGCAAAACTGCACCATACTAGCATTTGCACTCTTTCCTAAATAAACAAATGAAATTTGGATATATTGGATACAATCCATGCAGCCCTAGTTTAGACAACAAAACTTTAAAGAAAAAAAAAATAAAAGAAAAAGAATTATTTACATGAGGGTGACCGCTTTTATGCAAAAAGAAAAAAAATCATACACATTGAAAATTTAAATGTCATGGAAATTTGTGAAATTCTAAATGTACCAAACAGTAAATAGTTACAGAGAAAAACCTACACGGAGTGACGGAATAGGAAATATATCAGGGACATTTCAAAAATCTCTGAAACTCTGAAACTGTGTTTGGGATTCCAACTCTTCGTTTTTGCCCAAATTTTGAGATATAATATTATGATAATAATATAAAATGTATTATAAAATTTAACTAATTAATTAGTTCTTTTATTACTTTGCCCTGGGTAGGGATGGGCCGGCCCGGATCAGACCCGGGCTATTTCCTAGCCCAAGGAATCTTCATGAACATGGGTGACCCATCATTAACCAAAACGGCAAAACTGGGTCCCGCTTCTCCAGCATCTAATAAATCCGGCCCTGCTATATAAGCCTACGTCATGACAGAAGATACCATTTCCATGGTGTTAAGAAATTGATGCTTTCTATGAAGGTCTTACCAAAGGTAATCTGAATGGTCCAGATCAATATTGGTGGGTGATGGTGTGTACAACACAGAAGTTTCTGTGTTACATCACACACGATATAATATTTCCAAACTGAAAAGCCCACCACTAGTGATTTATTATATTTTTTCCGATTTAAAAAAAAGGAAAAAAAAAAAAAAAAAAAACCGAGTGGGAGAAGCGGAGAGGCAGCTAGTAGTCAGAACGCCATTTCTGGTTGAGTTTTGTCATCGGTCGGAGAAGAGGGTGTTGGGTGAGAGTGAGGTTGGGTTGGGGAGAGAGAGAGAGAGACCGGCTATGGAGACTGCCATATGTGGAAGAGTCACTCTTTCGCCCAATCACGTCTTCAACCCTAAACCAGGTTTCTCTCTCTCTCTCTCTCTCTCTCTTTCAATTATAAAATTCATCTTTTTCTCGTTTATTTCTACTGGGGGAAGATTTCAATGCTTAGAAATATAGATTCAGCGGTTACTTTGATCCTTTCCTCTTTTTGTTTCGCAACTAATACCACCTTCTCTCCTTGTGTCTCTGTGCTAGCAATTGCTAGTTCTATCGTTCTTTAATAGACCTTTAATTAATTCATATGCCTCTTCAAATTTATCTGATTTCTTCCGATAATTGGGTTTAGTAAGTACCATGTCTTTGTATTGAGTGTAGCTGAGACTTGTACTAGAACTTTTTTGTTTTAATATTCGTATAAGCCGAATATAAGATATGAGCTAAATATTGTAGTGGGTGTCTTATTAATAACAAATGTTTGGCGAATTTTGCACTGGATTCTGAAATGCTTCGAAGACTGAAATTCTGGGATAGATAAGATATTGAATTAATTTTTGGTAATTTCACTAGATTTAATTTGATGTCCAACTTAGATGAAAATACTAATATCTTTTTTTTTTTTTGACATGTAAATTGTGCTTCTTCTGAATCCTAGATGTAGCAGTTCCATTATAATATCAGATTCGTAATATTCTGGGTTTCCAACTTTCAGATGGAATAGTTTGTCGTAAAGTTTCCTGGTTGATCTTGATGATAGGAATTGAACGAACATGGTAGGTTAGAGGGAGAAAATGGTATAGAGAAACAAGTTGGGGGAATATTCTTATCAGGCTTGCTGTAAAGTTTCCCATTCGATCTTGATGTATCGATAAGAATTGAATGATCATGGTGGCTTTTCAGTTGCTTTTCCCTAAAATGATTTTACAGTTTTCCCCTTGATGACTATAATATGTTTAGTTTGGCCCTCCTATCTTTTTGTAAAGTAATTATGGAACAGGAGTTCTGTATCACAGTTAATCATAGTGTCTTCTTCCTCTACTTTTGATGCTTTTTAACAACCTTTTTTTCTAACTAATCAAATGTTATGTAAGAAACTCACAACTTCCCTTTTCTTCTGATCTTTTCTTTTTTTACGGGAAAATCTATGATGCGGAAAAGATATGGTATGGAAAGAGTTTTGACCAATCAAAACCCACCCATGAATTTTGATAAATAACACTTTATTCACTCTCACATTTATGATTCCAGTTTATCGGTCAGTTGTTTTCGGATATCATATCTTTTCCATGTCATGGTCGAAACCTTTTTCTACACTTATAACCTGGCTGCTAACTTTGAATTAGAATTTTGTCTTCTTGACATCTTCATTAGGAACACTTATTGTGATATTTATATAAGCCTTGCAACAGTTTTATGTGCCTTATCTTGGAGGTCTTCCAGAATGAAATCTCAGATTGCTCCTAAGCATCCAAAAACTTTTGCTTAGATGATCTCTTATATGTGCCTTTTAAGCATGCATGTGGATTTTGGTGACATAGGTGCCATATCTGGTGTATTAACATTTCTTTATATTAATTTTGATTGTGTCTCTCTATTACAAATAAGTGATGTATTAAATTAATTAAATCTTGATTTGAGTTTATGTGAAGAGCTCAATTCTGTAGATATCTCCACTCACCTTATGCACATCTGAGAAGAAAATGTGTATGAGTTGGCATGTTTAAAGAGTATATGGCTATATGCATCTTATGGAGGTTCAGCTTTTGTTATCAATTTGCAAGTTCCATGTTTAACATTAAAGTCAGTGATTGCATTCATATGCATAAAAAGAGATTCAGTTAGTATGGTTGCTTTGTGTTGGGTGCTCCTAAAAACCATGGCCAACTATACCTCTTATGATTGATAATGGAGATTTATCTAACCCTTGAAATTTTATTTAGGCATATTGTCGGAAGCACCAACAAAGCTACTCATTGGCCAAAGGTCATTTAGCCCTCTTTTGCTTTTTAGAGAACCTTTTAGAGGCTATTTACCAAGAAAAGAAAAAATTCATGAACATTCTTTAGCAACCAAGTATTTTCTGTTTTCTTCATCTTTTTCCCCTTTTGTTGAAAATTTAATTAGTGGTACAATTATAGAGATGTATAAAAGCAGGGTAGGTATACCCCAGAAAGTCTTTACAGCATACTACACTCCATACTCAAAACAGAAACCCAGTTGAACATAAAATCCCTCCTTTTGAAGTTATTGAAATCTTTCATTGGTAAATTCCAATTTATCTGACAGTTGCAAACATCCTATCTGAAAGTTGCTAAATTCCAACCCAGTCGAGACATGTAGTTTTATGCTGAACTACCAAAGCATTGATGTGTAATTTTGAGGCTGAAGCATCAAATGCCCTGCCTTTCTATAGACCACCTCTAATGTATATATTCTGACCGTCTCTCCCTGGTGCCCATACTGTTTATTACAGGGGATAAACAGCTTCTTTATAAAGGATCATGTATAAATCGAGGCATTCTCATGTCAATGTCAGTTACTTCTCAGGGAAAAGGTGGTGGTTTGTTGGAGAGACCAACTATAGAGAAGGCCACTCCTGGTCGTGAATCTGAATTTGACTTGAGGTATATATGGGATTCTTGAAGTTTACTTCTTTTTTGAGTTGTTTTCTTTGTCATACAGTATTATATTACATGTCGTTCCCAGTCCCAGCCAGATATATCTCAGTCATTACTTCATGAATAATGCCTACTGCATTGTAGATTAACCTGAACAAGGACTACTATCCCACGCCTTTCATAATAATTAACCAAAGATTAGTATTTGAGAATCCAGGTGAAAGAGTTGGATTTGCATTAGGACACTTGGCATTCAGAAACAAAACTTAGTATCGAAATATTTGACATATGGAGCATTGCAGCTCAACCTGCTTAAAAATCATGTTATTTAACCTCTAGCAGCTAACACCTTTTATAATTTCAGGGGAAAACCACATGTAAGTCAAAATTGGTATTTTCTCACTTTCTAGTTTTCATATTGCTTATTTGCTTCACACCATGAAAAGCATTCCTCCTTTTTAAAAGAGGCGGAAGTAAGTTTTCCCCTCAATATTGGGTATGGAACATTTTCATAATTTTTTGGAAGAATTGGTGCAATGTTTGCTTGTTTAGTGAATAATTCGACATGAAAAAGCATATGAAGTATGAGGAAAAAGAACCCATTTAACTTCGATTACTGACGCCTAATTTTCAGGAAATCAAGGAAAACAGCTCCTCCCTATCGCGTATTATTGCATAATGACAACTTCAACAAGCGAGAGTATGTTGTTCAAGTTCTAATGAAGGTCATCCCTGGAATGACACTGGACAATGCAGTTAACATCATGCAAGAGGCACACTACAATGGCCTGGCGGTGGTGATTATCTGTGCCCAAGCAGACGCAGAAGAACATTGCATGCAGCTGAGAGGCAATGGTCTCCTGAGTTCAATTGAACCTGCAAGCGGTGAGTGCTGAAGGACAGTGATCGTGGAAAGCATACATTATCTCTGCTACTGGTTATCTCCATCCTCTTTTAAGCTATCCGTACATAGTCTGAAAATATTCATATTATGTGAATCAACTTCGATTTCGTCAGGTTAGAGATGGATAGTACGACATTGAAGACACTTGTACAGTGACAAGTCTGGGCATTGTGGTTTTGGGGCTTAATGAATTGAATGGTATAAAAATGTAAATGAAGCTAAAGAATTCTTAGTTCCGAAATTGCTACTTTTAAGCACCCCCCCCCCACCCTCCCCAAAGTTTTGATACGGAGACGTTGAATGTCTTCTAAATAAGTCCCAAAACCACAATTGGGAGTAGGGTTTGATAAGAAGGAAAATTGAATTTTGGTTCTAGTGTGGGTCATGCTGGAATTATACAAGGTTCAAAATATGGATATTGTATGTTGTATTGGAAAACTTAGATATGGATGCATATTGCACTTCAAATACGCATTGATACAATAGCCAATGGGAACATATAGATAGGTTTAGATGAGTTCACAGGAAGCGTGAACCCACCAATACGTATTGAACACGTAGCCAACAATGGGTTAGTAGGCAAGCTAATGGGAACTAATGGAGTTATTCTGTTAACGGCCGTATCATTGGTTGGACTGATCAGGCATTAAAAGACAAATTAAGAAACCCACCCTTTTTAAAGATTCAAATGAACGAAAATCCCCTTCTCCCACTTTCACTCGAACTTCCCTTCCCCTCTCTCATCTAAACCCTAGCCAAATTAGATCACCGGCGATGTGTGTAGGGCAAACCGACGTCCAACAATGTTATTGTGGTGAAAAACGAATTCTTCTTGTTCTTTTGCTTTTGAATTATTTATTATTCCAGAACCGAAGGTACCCTACCTCCTTCCTCGAACCTCCACTCTGAAATGACTAAAGCTCCAAATCGATTGAACACATGGTCTCCTTGGTGAAGCCAATCTTACCTAGACTGAAAAGTTATGGTGAATTTAAGAGAAATGCTGAAAAGTCATGATGAGTTTTAGATAATTTCCAAGTAATAAAATTATAGTTTAGATTTTATAGTTTTCCAATCATAGGATAATTAGGTAGTCCACTTCAAACCATGGTTTTGAAAACTGGACTGGACCAGAAAAACTGGGAACCAGTTTCGTTTCACCTTAAAATTGCTTTTTGGCCAAATTTATTGATTTGGTCAGCGACCCACTGACTTGGGCGGTTGAACCATCAAACCGTCCACCCAAACAGTTTTTTATCGTTTTTTACTTTTTTATTTTTTTTATTTTTAAGTCAGAACGGGCCATCTGTTCAAACTGGACAATCGGACCATTCAACCCAGGAACCAGTCCCAGAACGGTTCCTCATACAGTCCGGTTTTAAAAACCTTGCTTCAAACTTACACATGGGCAGTTGGTTCTAAGGGGAAAGTAACACCCATCAGGCAACGATACAAGGTCTGAGGTTTGAAAATGATAGCCTCCCGAAAGTGAACACCAGTGCACCACCAGGATCTTCAATTTCAAAAGACAAATCACGCTAGCATTGCTCATATGAGGTTCGTTTTGCTTTTGCCAGAGGATTGCTGACGGATGCAAGATTGACTTTGGGATGTTTCTGCAACGGTGAAACCACATAAATAAATGAAATAAGAACATCACTCTAATAAACAACAACGGGTGATTGCGATGATTTTCTCAAAACTGATATTCGGCCCAATTTATATTAATAACTAATCTAAGTGGGGGGGACTAATGACAAATGGATGCTCTGTTTTTATTTAGTTGCATTCATGCAAAGGGATCATATGGCCATCAATAATATGGAATCTGGATTGGCACAGGCTGCGTCATTCTCGTGCCCTACCCACCACTTAACTGTCGTTATGTGGCTTGCATTTTTTTCAAGTATATGGCTTATGGAAAGTGAATTCTGTGACAAATTTTTGAGTCATTTTTCTGGGTAAATTTTGCCCTTCTGTCTTCTGTCAGGTGGACAATCAGGTGTCATTTATTAAAATTCTTGGGCGGATTGTGATTGATGAAAACTCTTCAGAATTCAGATACCATGTCTTTCCCGCATCATAAATTATCCCTTTCCCTTGCTGAGAAGTTATTTACTCAGGCCTCAGGTCAAGTGTCACCTGACACTTCCCGAGTAAATTTATCTGATTCTTTTTGCCGGGAAGTTGGGTTAATGAGTCAATTGGCTTAATGAAAAGAAGCAAGAAAATGGCAGGGGATAGTCTCCAATTTTCTCAGGGAAGACTATTCCACTTCCTCTTTTTCAATAATTTTCAGGAACCTGGAAATTATCTTTCAGAAACCTGGGAATTATCTTTCCATCTCCCCGGAGTGTAGAATGTGCGCTCGGGGGGTAGAAATTTTACCAATCTCAAGATCTGAAAGGAATTTGGTTTGGCAGCTAACCAATGGCTGATAATATCATAATACCCATTGGCTATTTTTGGTTCCTCAGAAATGGGCGACAAACAGAAAATTGTAGGAAATTCTTCGACAGTCTCAAAACTCTCACTGATTTTGACACAAGAACCGACGTAATACATCATTGGCTGCAAAAACTGCATGGGGTACAACTGTACAAGAGCCTCAGAGGACTCAAAACCAAGTAAAAAACAATAAATAAAAATAAAAGGGCAAACAAATACATCATTCCCCATACCGGAGGCTTCTAATGACACAGAAAACTTTAATTGCACAAAGACATTATTTCCTTATACAATGTTTCCTGTTGTACCAAAAAAAGATACAATGTTTCCTTTTTCCCTAATAAAAGCTATTGCCCTCCAAAGAGTGAGAGTCCAAGAGGTCATAGCAATCCAAAAAAAAAAAAGATGTCAAAAAAATTCATTTTTATGTTGAAATGCAGCAAAAAAAAAATGTGCATCAGTACAAGGAATTATAGGATGCGGATTCATTCAATCAGCAAGCCTTTTACATCATGGTTCAACGGTCGATAAATAGGACTGGATACCAAATACTAGAAAAAGAATTCCACCTGAGAATGCAACCTGCACAAAGATGGATAAATTTTGATTTTACAAAAAAAATCAAATAAAGGACCAAGATTCTATTATTTCAAGCAAAGTTCAGATAGCACGTTAAGATGACTCAGTTACCATTTTCTCAGATATTTGAGATGCCAAACTCTTCCCACCAAGTACTGCTGCAGTAGTACATAAGGCTTGTCCTCTGCAGAGAAGGAAAACAATCACCACAAGCACATAATATAGGGTCTGCATACTGGAATCTGTGCATGGGGCATGGCATATGCAGCATTACTCCACAATAACTGAGTCATTCACAACTATTTTAACCATTTGATTATAAGAAGCGGCAATTCTTGATCTTCAAGCGGTCAAATGTTCACATTGTTGGATAATTCCTGACCAATTTGACAGCCTAACTTGCAATAAGCCAATTTTTAAGATTACTAGGATCAACAAAATACAGTTATTACATCTATCAAGAAAATGGTGAATAGCAGTGAATGGTTGAATGTCAGTCTCTACTAGGACACAGTAAAAGATGGTAAAACATACATGATTCCACCAAGGACCACGCCCAATGGATTTTCATCTGCAGCCAAACCAATTGTAGCAATCTGAAAAGGTAGCAATTGTCAACTGAGGACACTGACAAACGGACAAAGTAGACTAACTGTAATCCAATTAATATAGGAAAAGCAATTATCGGCTTTGCTACTTACTTGGCTCTTGTCACCCCACTCGCCAAAAAAGGTAATAGAAAATGCCTGCAAGATGGACAAGATGAAATCGGTTAGATGACTACATAGTCAGAACTCAACCAAATAATATAAGAGTTTCTACCTTTAAAAATATGGGTGAGAAGAACTGTGTGAGAAAGGGCTTCCTCTTCTTTTTTAAATCATCATCTGCCTGGAATAAGAGTACTAAGCATTAGCATCATTTAAAACACTGTGTTTTGAATATTGATTGGAAGGAAAGTTGCCGATATGCGGAACCAACAGTGAAATTATCAACTTAAAAGAACCAAGTTGTCCTTCTCACTTGAAAAAGATGGATATTGATTTTGAACACAATTTCTATTTTCCAGTGTTAAAAAAAGTTAGGATCCCATAAAATGCCTGATGAAGATTGAGGAATTGTGTTAACTTCACTAGACTTAAAAGTATAATAATAATTTGGCATGTTTTAAGTGGATCATCACAACACTCAGTACATTATCAGCATTTGGCAAACATATGGCATTAATTGGTCATAATAACAAGACAAAAGTGTATACCAAATAGAAACTGCCTGGAATATATTAAAGAACATATAGCATACAAGAATAATCCTATAGGGCTGGGCATGAGCCAGGAAAATTGGGCTTGACTCTGCTCCAGTTGAGCTTGGGTTTAGACATCAGGTAACCTGACCCAAACCCAACTTGAGCCTCCATACCCAACCTTTTATGATACATGCATCACTTAGTATGCATGTACAATATGTTAATGTATACATAATACAATGGATGAATTGATAAGCTGACACTGGTGAGAAATTGAAATTGAACATCCAAATTGCACTTTGATTTGGGTTGGGGGATATGGACAAGCCACTATTTGAGTCGCATTCTGATAATCAGAACAAGCTTTCCAACTAAGATTGAACAATATGTACAGTTGCACACACACCACAATGAGTTCATACTGATTCCAACCCAACATTTTATGGTAAAATCCAACCCAACTGAACCTGCATGCCTAAACTTTTATAATACATGCATCACTTAGCATGCATGTACAATGTGTTTATGTATTCAATGGATGATTGTTAAGATGACACTGCTTATACATTTAGCATCTAAAGTGCACTTTGATTTGGATTGGAGAATATAGACAAGCTATCATCTGACTATCTGAGTTGCATTATGGTATAAGAATAAGCTTTCCAAATAAGATTGAACAATATGTACATACACAGCAAGGAGTTCATATGATGAATGATGCTAGCACATTCATAAACTTTAAATGCACAACACAGAGAAGAGGGAGAGAAAATATTAAGCAGGGGTTGATATTGGTTGCTATATTCTTCACCTCACCTTGGGATCTGATTTGGTTTTTCCTGTGTTTCCCTTCAAATCAGCATCCTAATCATTTCATGAAAGAAAATGTCAACAAGAACTAAAGAATTAAGGATGAGTAAAAAAAAAAGAAGATACCAACCAGTTTTGCTTCAACTTCAGCCAACTCTTCAGCCTCCCTGTTGGATCAAACAGAATTAACCTTTAGTTAGGGCTGTTCACGGGTCAGTTCGGTTCAGTTGCATTTAATTTTGTCAACCGAACCGAAAAAGTTTGGTTGACTTTGAGGCCAACTGAAACCGACCAATAAAGAAAGAAAACCGATTTCAACTTTGATTTTATTTAACATTGGTTTAATCGGTTTTAGTTAAACCCARCCAAAATTAATGCTTATAGCCTAAAAAGGTCGATGGATCCAACCTGTACCTTTATGCTCCCTACATTTTATGACCACTTGCAGTTGGCTAGTTGAGTGTTAGTCAGTCCCTATATAGGTCCAACCTGTACCTATATGCTGTCTCTTCGGTTTTCACTCCTATGAATAGATTCACAACTTTTTACTTTTTTGTCAGTCCCTATATTTAATTTTTGTCAGCTAGATTTTACTTGGAAAAAGATGGAGATGATCAGAAAGTAGTGATTGTCAATCAAAAGTAAAAGAGACGAAAAATATATAAGATATATGAATCACAAAAGGCAAACATGTGTATGTATACATACTCGGTTGGTTTCACATCGGGTTACAAAAAGCATAACCACAACCGAACCAGGACATCAGGTTTTGCCCTTTTTTAAATCAAGGCCGACCAAACCATTTTAGAAACCGACCATCTCAGGTCGAGTCGGTCCGGTTTGGTCAATTTGGTCGGTTTACAACATCTTCTGAACAACCCTACCTTTTTCTGTGAAGAATAGGGAGAAGATATTGAAAAATAAAGAAGACGAACTGAAAAAAAAAATCCATAAAAGGGAATTGTAATAAAAAAATTAAAGGAAAAAGAAAACAATGAAATTGAGGAAACAGGTTTTACCCTTCGTCAGTGAATCCATCCCATAAGGACCAAAGCCCAAATGCCAAGAATAATATCGTTGTTATATGATGAGTCCACTTGCGAGAAATCTGCATTGTTTACATCATTCAACATTGGAAATGGCAAAAACAAAGACGAAACGAAAGCAAAATTAGGGAAAATAGAAATAAAAGAAGAGGACAATAGTAATAGAAGCTCTCCTAAACAGTTTCAAGTAACTTGGTCATACATGAAAACTAATGCTAGTTAACCTTTTCAAACTAAAAATGTTCACTGCAGCTATCACCAGGAAAGGGCACAAGTTATGGCAATTGAAAAGATTTAAAAAAGAAAAAATAATAAATTGATCAGGTACTACTCACCTTAAATGCTATTCTTATATTATTTTTCCCACCTCTATTTTCCTATACTTCCATCGCTTAAACTGTAACCTAACTCCAACTAATTTACACCAACTCCTGTGGTCCTATAAGGCCGTGATGTTATCTTGACAAACATGAACAGATGTCTTTCACAAGCATGTCTTCATTTTATGTCTTGTGCTTCAGATGAACTGTCTTTCACAGTTCACTACTCATAAAATATTTCTCTATTTCTGTCCAAAATTATGCTTGTCTTCCAACGGCCTAACCTTATAATTGTCTAGCAATACAGACCATTTCTGGGTCAAAATCATTGGACCATACAGGAGAGAGATAGCACCAGGGGTTCAAGGAAAAGCATTTTGGCTTTCATTCATTAAATTTCTGAATTCCTCTCTCTGTGGTCTCATGCCTTGATCTATTATGTTGACTGTAATCCACCTCAAATTGAATTAGATAGGATGATTATATTTAAACATAGTTCAAGGATTGAATTAGATTCCCAAATTGTGAACTGTTTTTTGGATCAGCTTATTCTACTCAGATTCATCACTAACATCCTCTTTGAGTGTCCCATGGCTCCCACATCTGATCAAAAGGTTTATGTGGTCAAGCTGCAGCTTGATGGTAGCTCCAAAAGTAGCCTTAGTCCAAGTGGGATGTTCAGTGGGAATTCTACAGAAACAGAAGGGGTCTTTTTTTTTTTTGATAAATGAGAGTAATTTTATTGAAAGAGTATCAGAAATACATGCAGCCTAGGAAGAGGCACGAGATATTACCTCCCCCAAGGACTGAATCATAAGCACTAAAACATGCCCAAACCTGAGAAACAAATTACAAATTAGCCCAAAACAGATCACCCCTTGCTTGGCCAGAGAATCAGCCATTACATTTGCTGATCTGCTAACCCACTGGAACCTAACAGTCATATTTCTTGTCATCCATTTAACTTTCTTTACCAGATCCCCGTAGCCCCAACAAACTATGTCTGGGCTATTCAGCCAGCCCACTACTACCTTGGAGTCTCCTTCTACTAAAAAAATGCTCACTCCTAATTGACTAGCCATCTGTATACCTTGTACCACTGCTAGTAGCTCTGCCCTTACAGAATCACCTTCACCCACTGGTCCTGAGAAAAGAGACAACATATTGTTGTCTTTGTCTCTCAGAATCCCTCCAATTCCGGATGGCCCTGGGTTACTTTGGCAGCTACCATCAAAGTTCAATTTTACCACTCCATTCGGTGGGGGTTTCCATTCAACTTGTAATTTGTTCTTGGTGGAGACTGTAGAAGCCACTGCTTCCCAATTTCTCCTTAAGTCATCAAAGGAGAAATAGGACAACAATTGTGAAGATTTCTGCCATGAAATTGTCTTTGTCAATATACTTTCCTTGACTTTAGCAAGACTTCTTTCCTTTTCTTGAAATATTCTAGCATTTCTCTCCTCCCATAAGATCCACAAGGTGGCGGCTCTGATACATTTCCACATTATCGTCCCCCTTTTTGTCAATCTCCCAAGAGCATCTGGAGTGAACAGTAGCTTTACTTCAGAGGGCAAGTTCCACCTGCACCCAAATAAGGAAACAACCCAATTCCAAATATTGGCAGCAAAGAAGCACAATATCAGCAAATGGTTACAGTCCTCACCCTTCACTTTACACATAAAGCACCAATTTGGGGACAGACACAAAAAAGGTTTCTTCTTTTGCAAGTTTTCCACAGTATTGATCTTACCAAATCTCCTTTTGAGAGTTCAAATAGCTAGATGGCTCCAAATCTCCCACTTAGTAATTTAGGGTGATTCCAAAAATGTAATCAAGTTTCACCAAAATGTGGGCATTGAGCAGCAGTCCTTGGAAGCTGGTACACTGCCTTAATGAAATGAGAGAATTATTGGCTAGGAATCTATGATCAATGTCTAGGGTAGATGGATGATCCCAAGGGAGTTTAGTGATATGCTTTCCAAATGAAGAATTGATAAGGTCATTTTGCACAGTGACAACACCCTGCTTGAGTGGTTTTAAATTAGAAAGGGGCTCACTTTGTCCAAATTTTGTAAAATCTCTACATCCACACAGGCACTTCCTTATTTCTAATTAGGGGTGGCCACGAGTTGAGCTTTTCACAAGCTATTTGAGCTTGGCTCGTGAAATGCTTGATTTGGCTCGGTCTAAACCGAGCTTCAAGCCAAGCTCGAGCCAAATATACTAATCGAGCTGAGCTCAAGCACAATAAAGCTTCGCTCGTGAGGCTCGCAAGCTTAATTGAGCTTTTACATACATATAAAAAATAATATACATAAATAAAAAATATTATAGATATGATATTTTTTATTATATATATATATAATAATAATAACTAGTTTTTATATTCTTAATTTTTTATATGTCAAATAAAAAATTTTTATATGTGTAACTTTTTATTTTTATTAAATGTTTGGCTCATAGTCAAGCTTGAGCCGAGCTCGAACTTATGAGCTTTTGCCTTGACCTAAACTCGAGCTCAAGTCTCTAGCTCGAATCAAGCTTGAGCCTTATAATTTAGTGGCGAACCAAACTCGAATAGCTAGATATTTGGCTCGGCTCGACTCGACTCGAATCCACCCCTGTTTCTAATTACAAATCAGTTATGGAAGTGGTAGAGGCAGTTATGCTGGTGCTTGCAGAACTGGCAATTATGGTGATGATGGTGGTGGTGATACTTGATAGCTATGGAAGTGGTGCAAGCAATTATAGTGGTGATTGCAGCTGTGGATATGGTGGTGAAAACTTTGGTATTGGAGGTAGTGGCAGCCACAGCAGCAGTAACTACAGTACTGGGCGTTAAGGTGGAAGCGGCGCTGGTGGAACTGGCAGCTATAGCACTAGTGGTAGTTATGACAGCGGAAGCTCTGGTGGCCATGGCAATGTCAGCAGCAGTGAAAAATATGGTGTTACAGGTGATGGGGGTTACTGCAACCAAAACAAACCGAGCCGAATTTCAGCATGTCTTGGCTCAGTTAAGTTCAACTAAAACACTCATATTTGAACTTGAGTTTGAGTTCGATTCAAGCTCTATTTTTGTATTTGAGTTTGGCTCAAAAGTTCAAAAACTTAATATATATTAATCGAGCCAGGCTCGCAAACTTTCAAGCTGGGTATTTTATTGGTCGAATTTGAGCTCAAACTGTTCAATCAAAGCTCAATCCGATTGCACCCCTATTGGGGGTGGAAGTGGTGCAAGTGGTAAGAACAGATTTGCAAGTGGTGGGTATGATGGAAGTGAAATATCATATCATGGTGTATACACTAGTAATCAAGGTAACATGGGTGTTGGAGAGTATGGCCAAGGTGATCCATTAGATGAGAATTTCAGGGCCAACAATAATGATGATGATTAGTCTGATGATTATGCAAATAAGAAGGCCTGATAAATGCAATACAGCAGTTGCTAAGGAGAAAAATGGTACTTGGACCTTCGTCATAATCTAGCCTAATTCTCTTTCATTATGTTTCCTTTCTTTCTTTTGACTTTCTTTTGAAGAGTAATAAAAGAAATTTTATTAAAAGAAAAAAGATAATAAGGCAAAGGTGACAAGCAGGCACCTCGACAATACAAAGCAGCTAAAAACCATAAAAACAAACTGCAAACTACTACAAATCCGAAAAACAAGTACAATCCACTAGATCTCCCCCAAATCTCAATTGCTACTCTGCTCAAACGCTGGGGTCATCAGACCCAATCCAAGACGAGATGCCCAACTAAATCCACCGGCACCTTAATAGAATTGAAACACCACCCCTAACAGGTCAGCACTTTTGGATAAGAGGCTTCTTATCAGGTTCTCACCAAAGATCTCCTGTTTCTCTTCCTCAATCCTCTCTAGTTCAGCTTAACAACCTCAACCTCTACCCAAATCTTTCAAAACTAAGATTTTGACTCTTCACATATCCTCACCCAACACCTCCTCCTCACCCATTTCTTCATCCCACTCTCTCTCTCTCTCTTTGCTTCTCCTCTCCTCTCTTTTCTTTTGACTTTTTTTTGGACCACCATGCAAGTGCATGAATACAGCTGTTTGGTAATATGAAATTTCCAAATAACTTATTACTAATGAAAAAAGATATAGGAAAAAAAGGAATTATATCTTAAACTTATATCTAAACAACCAAATCCAGGAACTATTATCAAATTTACCATTTTTGAGCTCTCATTTGTTATAAGTAAACATCTTACCATATTGGGGGCAGCCCAGCCAAGAAGCACAGAAAGAATAGTCATTACCTACAATTCAATGAAGGCTTCTGTAACTATTATACTCTAAAGAAAAAAGAAAACATCTAGACTAATAAAATAATAGAGCGTCTAAATAAAATATTGACAAGGCAAACTTACAATCAAAGCTGCCAAGCAGCCTAGCAAGACAGTCCTCCTTGGGTGGCGCATTGCCAAGATCTAAAAATATGAATCACCATGTGAGATAGAATCGAGCGAAGGGCTTTGTCATTCATTAAATAATCTCATACGTTCTAGGAAGAACCTTTGCCATTGTGTATGTCTGTGTGTGTGCACGTGCATTTTTCTTCCTTAAGTATTAATTTGGTAAGAAATACTCATGAATGACTTTTCTTTTTTTGGTAAATACCCATGAATGGCTCAGTGCATTTTATTCTCACTCTGCAGTTGGGAAAGACTAAATTTTAAAGAGAAAAAAAAAAAAAACAGTCAAAAGGATAACGGAAAAGAAAAAAATCCTAAGGCTATTTTTGGTTTGAAAGAAAAGGTAGGGAAAGGTACCTTTCCCTTCCTTTCCCTACCTTTTCTTTCAAACCAAGCACAGCCTAAGGTTGCAGCCCAGAAGGTTTAGCCGTTTAGGTGAAACAGAGACCAAAAAATAGAATTACTATATAGATTGGAATCATGATTGTTTGCAAATCTCTTCGGTATCACTAATTGTCTATCATTCAAGAACCCTCATCCCTTATATTTTTCAATTTATTCTTTTCAGTATAGACTATTGCAAACCATAACACAAGTGTAATAGAAAAATATTTGTAGGAGGGTTGTACTATTAGCACCACTTTCCATTTTTTCCAGGCAGTTTGTCTGACGTTTTTCTATACCAACTAAATTCTTTCGTCCAAACAATCCCAAATCGATGACAGACCCAATGCCAATATCATAAATTGGTTCCACCCCCCCCCCCCCTTTGATATAGTGGTTCTAGGCTCCGGAGACACCAAAACACATACAAGCAATTAAACAATAGATCTTCCAAATTGAACAGTAAAAAGAAATTGGAATACAAGCATTACGTATCAGAAAAAACAGCAATGCAACAGTAATATACTTACAGCAGCAGCAAAAAATGTCTTGTCTCCAATTTCAGAAAGCACTGTCATGGCAAGAGACTTGGTAAAACCCTAAAATGAAAAAAAAAAAAAAAAGATACAGAAATGAAACAAAATTCAACCCTAAAAATTCTGGAAATGAAACTTGATTGACTTGCAGAGTGAAGTGTACCTCCAATACAGAGAAACCCATGTTTGCTCAGTTGCAGTGAGTACAGCAAAAGAGAAACAAAATACGAAGAGAGAGACAGACTGAGAGAGAGAATCAGAGTACGAGAGAGAGCAGACAAACAAGATTCTCTCTAGTCTCTCCGCCTCGCGCACGAGTCAGCGCTTGACTCGTCCGAGGCTGAATAAAGCTTAAATCAGGATTGGCGGATTGAAGCGCAGAAGGAAAACTCGCATATCAGAATCAGGATTCCCAAGTGCAGTTATTCCCACGTCGAGGTCTCGAGAAAGTGGAAAAGATGCCTTTTCTCTTTTTTATAATTAAATAATTAATCATTAATAATAATTTTTATTTTCTTATTTAATTTTATTTATAGAATTCCGCTTCATAAGGACTTCGTTGGTTCCGGGTCCTACACTTGTACATAATTCCTTCTGGGGAGGTTTCCATGTGCAGAGTCAACTTGTAAACGTGTTAAACGTTAAGAGCATTGGGCCCACTTAAGAAAATCAGCATAACCAGATGGCCAAATCGTAACCATTCAAATCCTTCTTGTTCGTCTGATTGATGTTGATCTTTGTGCTAAGATTGGAATATCATTTTTCTCTCCCAGGAACGAGGAATCCTCTCCCACGTGCACTAGCTTTAACATTAAACACAAAAGGACAAAATTTAAGCATAGTCCTGTACGCTAATTCCTAGGGTTTAAGGAGATGGATGGTGACACCTGATCTTTTGTGCTTAAGTGTGTCGTGCTCGTTAAATGTTAATATCTAATCGTTGGATTGGCATCAGTGCTGACAAGAAGTTGGATTGGTATCAATACGTCAACTAGGAAGATTTCTTTGGGCCTTAATGGGGGAGACCAGCCCAATGGGCTCCCAAACCTATAATGTTGGGTCCGTGCTTTACTTTCGTGTCAATGGGTCGGATTCGGTACGGGTTTTCTTGATCTAACCCGATACTTCAATGTTTCCACCTGAACCTGACCAACCACACACCACTAGTAAACATGTAATGCGCCAATACTCTCACGATCCTATAGGATTCAATTCCATGTTGACTAGGGTCGGTTTACGGTCTTTCATTACATTTTTTGTAACAGATTTTGAAAACTTAAAAGGGTCCATTTGCATTTTAGGAAGTTGTTTATCCATTTTCTTTTATTTAAGTAATATAATGACTGTTTTAACCCTAAAAATTTATTATTAAAAAGAGTAATTTTGTCACATTCAAGTGTTAACAATTTCCTCCTCATGCGAAAATTAATTATCCATATCACCCGAGTAACTGATATCTAAGGAAAATAATTTTTTCATAAACCTCACATAAATCTAAAAAAAAGAATATAGGTATCTTTATTAATGGGAACCAAAATCCCATTAACCAACTTTCACACTCTCAAAATCCAAAAAAAAATGGATGCCCCTAAAAAGGCATTAGTAAGTTGGAATTTGATATATAGGTTCTAATCTACCATTTCTTTCAATAGAAAAACCAAAATAAACATTAATTTGAGTCATTTGACCCTACACCTGAATAAACCTAACCCTAACCCAAACCTATAGGGTCCGGTCAAGTTAGACTTATTACTTAACCCAACCCATTAACATCCTCTACTTCCGTAAGCTTATGTGGTGAAAGGCCATTAAGGGTCCGGTCAAGTTAAGTCTATACCAACATCCCCAACAATCATTCTTAGAGGTGAAATTTGCAATTGTATACTCAACTCATTCAACATGTTCTTGAAGGAATGCTGGCTTCGTATGATCTAGCCATTATTTATGCAAATAAATTAAATTGAAACAAAAAAAAAAACTATGTATATACTAATTAAAATTATCTCTTTCGTATAACCTTAAGGTTTTTTTCTTTTTTGATATTGTAGATATAATAAAGACAAAAATAGACTGTAGATACAAACAAAAAATAAAGGATTTGAAATAATAAAAACACATTACATGGTCTCAGTTAGTCAAACATTTCATAAACAAACATAGACCGCAGACACAAATTCATTATCAAATTACCATATATAACTTTAATGGTTTTTATTTACTGAGAAAGATAAAAACACAAAGAGAAGGATTTGAAATAAGTAAAAAGCACCTTCAATGGAATTGATTAAATTTTGATTTATTTATTTATTTGATAGAAAAAATATGAAGAAGAGATAAGGAAAAAATGAAGGATCGTAAGAGTACATGGAATTGATTAAACATGCATTGCGTAAAATGAACCAACAACCAAGTATTTGTTCAATTTCCAAATCCATGAACAACACATTACATTGAAATTAAAAATTGAAAATATTAAAAAAAAAAAGAGAGAGAGAGAAACGTCTCACCTCTTCTTGCTCAAATGCTTTCTATATTGTATAAGAATCACTCTCCAATAAATGTAATTTATAGAATTCCTGAGCAGAATTCTATAAATTACATGTGGTAAGGCCTAGGATGGTGGCACGTGGCATTGGCCGGATGCAATCCTGGCCGCCCATCACCAACCACCTTCAACCACTTATAAGGCAAGGTCAAGTATAAATAGGGGTGCCCCTCTCTTGGTAAGATCATCTAGCTCATCATTGCTCTCAAGCTCTCTTGCTCTCGAGTGACCTCATCTGAGTCCTCACCTCAAACCTTGTCCAACCCCCTTACACACTTGACTAATTTGACTATCAGAATCTTTGCCCCTGGGATAACACCCAGGGCGTCTGATGTGTGATCTCTTATTTTCAGGTTGGACACTTCAGCCTCGGCTAAGGAAGTGGATTTACCTTGTTGCCCTCAACCCATCATTGGCAGCAACAATTAGCGTCGTTTATGGGAACGTTGCTAAAATTTTCCTTAAGTGAACACTTAACTGAAAACAACTAAGCTTTCAACAATGACTGATAAACAAAGACAATAATCCAAACACTAAGAACCTAGTCACCATGGACCAATTTAGAATGGTCCTTGATAGATTGGACAACATAACCCAAAAGACTGGATGAGGTGGGGCATCCGACAGGAGGCCGCCCATGAGGTAGCCGCCCCGTTGGGAGCCAAGGGCAGTACAATGGACACTCTACTCATGCTCCACTGGTCCAGCACCCCCTTGGTCCTCGCAAAGCCAACCCCTCAGCGTCCTACGGCAGTCAACATGCCAACAAGCCATTAAAGACATCCTACCTCCCTAGTGGATGGGGAGATGATCCAATAGGGTCCTATGACAACCATTGGGACCATGAACTTTACCACCATGTAGAGAGCCACTGGGACGAAGGCAGGCACTCTGGTCACTATAGTCCTCCTCCGAGGGCTGGAGGCCGACGTCACGCCTCTCCCTCTCTAGTATTGGACCTCCACAATCTCCTCAACGATCGCCAAGCACGAAGGAACCAAGACATACTAGCATATGAAAACTCTAGGAACTGGGCTAACCCGTTCTACATTAGAGAAGACCACAACGAAACCCAGGCTCCCATCGACCGATAAATTGGTGACCTACATGGCATAAATCGACACCATGAAAGACGAGCTACAGCAGGTGCAGGAGGGTTGAGGTGATGCCTCCACCAATTAGAACCCGTCGTCCACCAGGATGGACGCCTTCACTGACTCCATCACCTCGGAGTCCTTCTTGCCTCACTTCAAGGCTCCCACACTAGAGACATATGATGGAACCACCAACCCGGACGACCACTTGGAGAGCTTTTGGAAGCTCATGCTCCTCTATGTGTACTCTGATTCCCTGACGTGCCAAGCTTTCCAAGCAACATTCAAGGGAGCAGCGTGTAGATGGTTTTCCACTCTCCCTCCCTGGTCCATCAACTCGTGGGAGCAATTTGCTGACCTCTTCCTCTCCCACTTCGTCAGCATCCAACGATGCCAAAAAATCATCATCTCGCTCATGTCAATCAAACAGAAGCACGAGGGGATCCTCTGGTCCTACATCGATCACTTCAAGAAGGAAGAACTCAAGGTCTGAGACCTCGACCCCTCAGTATCCATGCATGCCGCCATCAACGACCTCCAACCTGGGCCCCTTAAGTGGTCCATTTCCAAGACGCCGCCCAAGAACAAAGCGGAATTCCTGAAGAAGGCACAAAAGTACATCACCGTCGAGGAGGCCTTGGTAGGAGAGCGTCTCCAAGAGCATGAGGCCAACACTAGCCGAGGGGCTTCAGAGAAGAAGAAAAAGGATAGAAATGGCCGCAACCACAACCACCACAACAACGAAAATGAAGACAAGAAGCCACCGGCCCCATCCTTCAGCAAGTACACATTACTCAACTCCACCCGAATGCATATCCGCGTACAAGTGGGGAAGGAGGAATATATGAAGTGACCAACAAAGATGAAGAGGAACCCCAAGAGGGGTAATCCGAAGAAATATTGAAAATACCACCGCGACACCGGCCATAACACCGAGGACTGCTACGAACTCAAAAATGAAATCGAGTCCCTCATCTACCGTGGTCACTTGAAGGAATATGTGGGGGCGACATCGGCGCCTTGTCCTCACAGCAACAGTAGCAACATCACACCTTGGCTAGGGTCGATGTCATCATAGGGGGCACAACCTTGAGTGGAGCCTCAACCTCAACCTGAAAGGCCTACGCCAGGCAACTTAGCATCCAAGGTCCAACTTCCAAGAAGCTAAAAATAGACGACGCCATCTCCTTTTCAGACGATGACTTGAAGGGGGCCTCGGTACCCCATGATGATGCATTGGTGATGTCGATGACTATTTCTAGTTACACGGTGAAGAGGATACTTGTAGACAGTGGGTCATCAACAAACACCATCTTCTACAATACCTTCGAGAAGATGAAGTTGACACGAAATCGGCTACACCCAGTCGACATGCCACTGGTAGCTTCTCCGAAGCTGTCATCAAACCATAAGGAAGAATCACCCTACTGGTCACAATAGGGACAGAGCCTCGGTAGGTGACCATGATGACTAAGCTCTTAATTGTGAAGATAGGCTCCTGTACAACACCATCATTGGGAGGCCAAACCTTCATGCACTCAAGGAGGCCATCTCCTCCTACCACATCGCCATGAAGTTCCCAACTAAGCACAACATTGCAGTTGTCCGAGGTAACCAATAGATGGCTAGACAATGCTATGCGACAACACTAAAAGGCAAGAATAAAGAAGCCCTACCGTTGGAAGGGCTCGACCTCAAGGATGAACCAGTGAGCCGGGGGCCTCGTCTCGGTTCCCCTAGACGAGGTCAAGCCCAGGAAGACGGTGCACGTTGGGTCCAGCCTTCCTCTAAACACCCTTTT